ATACATATAGTCACACAGTCCCAAAGACCTCTTTCCTCTGATGGTCGGTCATGTTCAGAGCGGTCACGTATCTATCTGTAGTTAGTAGAAAGAGAGTAGATTCCCTTTAGTCRGGAGCCCAGTACTAGGAACCTTCCTCTTCCCATAGACCTTTTCTGAAATACATAATCATGGTGCATTGTGGTCTTGCTTCAGCACAAACAACGCCATATTTGGCAGCATAAACAAAAGATGTTGTACCGAATCTAGACCACAATGCAATGCAAACTGCTATCTCAGAAAAGGCCTATGGGCTTGTGGAACGGCATTTACCACTCTTGGTGCTATTTTTAGATTTTCCCGCCATTCCCCGCGMGCTTATTGAGATGCCGAGTTGTGAAGAGCCGCCAGCCGCTATCAGGTGTTTTTAGATTGAATTTTATATTTGTGCAAGTGAAAAAATTCTCGCTTTTACAAAAACTATTTTGTAACAAAGGTTCAATGGCACCACTAACTATTATATTCAAATGTCTAAAGATAGTGACAAGGTATAAAAAATAAGCGAAAAAGCTCATACATGAAAGAATCGCCATTTCCCAAGATTAATTACACCTGTTTTCTATCACTGGCCTCCTCATCGACTAAATATGAAGCGAAAGGTGATTCTGCTTTCCTTTTTTGGGACATATTTCTACTAAAAGTTAACTTTAAACACCCTGAAAATGAATTTTGAATAGTCTAGTACTAAGATCTTCCTCCTCGGAACTGCTGACGGTCAACCGCCGGCCGGGCCGTCGGTCATTCAGAAACTATTGTTCAAGTTGCTTTCTGATTGGCTGTTTTGCACTGAATTTATAATTTATAATCTTTTTTAATATACAGGCACTTGTCTCAGTATCCGAACGATAATACAATCGTCGGCAGCCAATGAAAATTTTAATAGTTCGTTTGGTATGCTGGTCGGATTAAGTCGGATCGATGTCGGAAAAATATCAGTCCAAACCTCACGTTCCTTGGATGGGCTCGTGTCCGATTKAATAATTAAATCTGCCGAAGGTAAATTCAGTAGATTCCATTAAACATTTATCATAAAGAATTTTTAACAGGAAATATTTGGTTGGTGGTCTTTTTGGACTCACAATATCGTCAAGAATCCCATTTTCCGATTTGGACCAGATCCCACTTAAAAATCYCATAATCCCATCAGTTTGTTCCCGTTAGTTTTCAATCCCATTCGCAGATTCTATGGTTCACTCCCCGTSTATCCAATTACAGTGCATCCAATTCCATTTTTCCAATGAAAAATGTGGCTAATCCCCCCTCCCCCGACCCGYTTCGTAGTAAATTAGGAAAGAGACTGGTAACTAGTCATTCGCAAGGGCTTGTGGGTATTGTTATGTTTCGAATCGGGCGAGAATTTCACTTTTCACGTACTTAATGTTCAGTTAACACAAAAAAAAACATGCCTGCGGGAGTTTCTTTTACACCAAGAAGTATCTGTGCCTTCATAGCACTCGGATTAGTTCGAGGGACATTCTCCATAGCGATTTACTTCGCAGACAAATCATACAAGTCTTCAAGTTTGGTATTCTTGTTGCGAACTCCCGGAACTATAATACTCTACGTCCTGTTGGCGATATTTATGGCTTGTAGAGATAGAGAGAGCAGACATATTTTTTCACAGAATCTTCGAAATGGTCAAAATTATTGGAAATCTGCTATTATGGGATTTGTGCAGCTCGCTGCTCCGTATTTATTGTTTATGTATGGTCTGAAAGTTCTTAGTCCGACTGCTGGTGGAGTGTACATGGCTGCTGCGCCGTGGTTAGCGACTATTTTAGAAAGATTTCCTTGTATAAAGGTCGGTGTTTCAATATTACTATAGCTAAGGAGTTAGTTTATATTTCAATGATTATATATGGTTGATATTTTTACTGGAAAGTTTGTTTAATATATTGGATGACGTA